AAGAGTCGGATAATAATTGTTTGTATGTGCGAGTAGATAACTTCCATTTTGTCGCCATCTTTGAAAAATGTCCTTAATTTTCCCGGAAAGTGTCTCGTACAGCAGACAGAGTGTTTCAAATTTTCCGGGAAAATTATAGAGGAAAGTATTTTGGGGCTCTGTCCATGGAATACCTTACCGCGTTTAAGACCATCAGGACGTAACTGACAGTGAAATATTGAACATACTACCGATCCGACTTAGGTGAAGAAAACCAGCGGCTGCCAGGCAGGATACGCCCACATTTTGCAAGAGATGGATAGAGAACAAAAAGCGATTTTTCTAACAATCAAGGGCCATAATTCAGGAAGTTACGATCCGATATGCACGAATATCGACAGGAACCAAAATCTTTGGGTTATAAAGATATATTTCAAGTTTCATCAAAATCAGCACAAAATTCTGACCTCCAGAGGGTCCACAACCTTGATATACCAGATGTCTACCCATTAGCTAACAAGCGGCGGCCAATTTGTCTGGCAGTTTTGGTCTGATTTTCACGAAATTCGAACTCGACCAACCTTATGATGTAACAGTGATATATTTGAACATAGAAGGACCACAAGCTAAAAACGTGATTTTTCATACAATCAGGGGCCGTAATTCAGGAAGTTACGATCCGATATGCACGAATATCAAAAGCAATCAAGATCTTTGGGTTATAAACATGCATTCAAGTTTCATCAAAATCGGATTAAAATTGTGACCTCTACGGGGTCCACAACCTTGATGTACCATATTTTTACACTATTAGCTAACAAGCGGCGGCCAATTTGTCTGGCAGTTTTTTCCGATTTTCACGAAATTCGAACTCAACCTTCATTATGGTGTAACAGAGATTCATATATCCTGATGAGCTCGGAGTTGAAAACACTGCTGACAGTGACAGTTGCGCTTCCTGCTTGGATCTGCGTCTCGGTTGTGACAATTGCCATAAACTTGGTGTTGGATTGTACGATGGACGTGATGACTTTGACTTTCCGATTGTTGACTTTCCGTTTGTTAGTAGTAGCATTCCAGTGTCGCCAGCTTGTGGAGTGTTTGTGTCTCAGCTAATTCGTTACGTGAGGGCTTGTTCATTTTATTCTGATTTTTTAAGTAGAACGAGGCATTTGTCATCTAGGCTTCGGCTGCAGGGATACTTGCGAACTTAACTTATTAAAACCTTTAAAAAGTTTTATGGCCGTCATATTGACTTGATTGGTAAATGTAACATGCCTCTCTCGGCTATTGTTCTAGATATATTTAATTGACGTGTATAATTTAATTGACGCGTATGCTGTATCCCTGATAATGTCTGTCTGCTGCATCGTTGGCGCTGTTCATCGCGTGTGTTTTGCGTGCTGGTAGTCTGTTGGCTGATCACGCTATTTTACTGAGGTTTCGCCTAGTGGTTTGGATGCATGTGTGGCACCGGGCGGGGTAAGCTTACTCTTCCAGACACCTGTTGCCACTGTTTGTCGTGTGTTTTGTACACGGTTAACAGTCCATATGCTGATTACACTTTTTTGCCTATACCGTTTTTTTAGGACTTTGAATTTCATCTAATGGTTTAGATTGTTCATACTTGGTTTTATTTTATTTAAACAGCTTTTTAATCGGATAATAATTGTGACCTCCAGAGGGACCACAAGCTAAACCAGCTGCTGCCAGGCTGGATACGCCCACATTTTGCAAGAGATGGATAGAGAACAAGCTAAAAACAAACAGGATTTTTTGTACAAACAGGGGCAATAATCCAGAAAGTTATGGTCTGAAATGCGCATATATCAAAAGGGACTGAGATCTTTGGGGTATAAAGATATCATTTAAGTTTCATCAGAATCGATCGGACAAAAATTGTGACCTCTAGAGGGTTGACAACCTTCGTATTGCATACTTTTACATAATTTGCGAACAAAGAGCGGCCATTTTGTTGGGCAGTTTCATTTTGGTTTTCCTGAAATTCGAATTCAACCTTCATTATGGTGGAATGGTGAAATATTTAAACGGTTTTTAAAATCGGAAAAAAATAAAATTGTGATCTCTAGAGAATCCGCAAGCTAAAAATGCCATTTTTCGAACAATCAGGGGTCATAATCCAGGAAGTTAAGTTCGGGTATCCGCGATTATCAGAAGGATCCATGCTCTTAGTGTGTAATGGTGATATATTCACACATTTTTTTTAAATCAGATAAAAATTGTGACCTCTACAAGGACCACAAGCTAAAAAACGCGATTTTTCATACAATCAAGGGTCATAATTCAGGAAGTTACTATCCGATATGCTGAATATCGAAAGGAACCAAGATCTTTGGGTTATTAACTTACATTTCAAGTTTCATAAAAATCAAAAGGGATTGTGACCTCTAGAGGGTCCACAACATTGATATACCATATTTTTACACTATTTGAGTACAAGGGGCGGCCATTTTGTCTGTCAGTTTTAGTCCGATATTTACGAAATTCGAAGTCAACTATCCTTAGGGTGTAATGGTGATATATTCAAACGTTTTTTTTAAATCGTTTAAAACCTCTATGACCTCTATATAGGGTCCACAAGCTAAAAACGTGATTTTTCGTACAATCAGGGGCCATAATTCAGGAAGTTACGGTCAGATATGCGCGAATATCGAAAGGAACCGAGATCTTAGGGTTATAAACTTACATTTCAAGTTTCATTAAAATTGTGACCTCTATAGGGTCCACAAGCTAAAAACGTGATTTTTCGTACAAACAGGGGTCATAATCCATGAAGTTTTGATCCGATACATGCCAATATCGAAAGCAGCTGAGATCTTTCGGAGATAAACCTATATTTCAAGTTTCGTCAAAATCGGATAAGAACTGTGACCTGTAGAGAGTCCACAAACAATTGTGGACGGGCGGACAGGGGCGATGACAATATACATCCACATGAAAATGTTGGCATATAAAAAGCGGGAATTAGATCAAATGCACCGAACATTTTGATCCGAGTTTAGCGCGAAGATCCGAGTTGAGCAAAGATCCGACTTAGGAAATCCGACTTATGCGAGGTTTACTGTATTTGAATTTAATAATATTCCTGAATAAATTACATATATATTGTTGTCGCCCCCCTCCGTCCGTCCGTCTGTCTGGCGTCCACAATTGCTTGTGGACGCTCTATAGGCTAAAGTTAATATCCGATTGACTTTAAATTTATACACAGTGTTTAAGGTCATGAGACGAAGAAGCCTGTTGATTTTCAGCGATTTTCGATAATTACTGTTAGAGTTATGGCCCTTGATCACTTCAAAAAATCTTGTGGACGCTCTAGAGGTCAAAGTTAATATCTGATTGACATTAAATTTATACACAGTGTTTAAGGTCATGAGACGAAGAAGCCTATTGATTTTCAACGATTTCCGATAATTACTGCTAGAGTTATGGCCCTTGATCACTTCAAAAAATCTTGTGGGTGCTCTAGAGGCTAATGTTAATATCCGATTGACCTTAAATTTATACACAGTGTTTACGGTCATGAGACGAAGAAGCCTATTGATTTTCAGCAATTTCTGATAATTACTGCCAGAGTTATGGCCCATGATCACTTTGAAAAATCTTGTGGACGCTCTAGGGGCTAAAAGATAATATCTGATTGACTTTAAATTGATACACAGTGTTTAAGGTCATGAGACGAAGAATCCTATTGATTTTCAGTGATTTCCAAAAATGTTTGCCAGAGTTATGCCCCTTGCTCACTTTGAAATATCTTGTGGACGCTCTAGAGGCTAAAGTTTATATCCGATTGACTTTAAATTTATACACAGTGTTTAAGGTCATGAGACGAAGAAGCCTATTGATTTTCAGCAATTTCCGATAATTACTGCCAGAGTTATGGCCCATGATCACTTTGAAAAATCTTGTGGACGCTCTAGGGGCTAAAAGATAATATCTGATTGACTTTAAATTGATACACAGTGTTTAAGGTCATGAGACGAAGAATCCTATTGATTTTCAGTGATTTCCAAAAATGTTTGCCAGAGTTATGCCCCTTGCTCACTTTGAAATATCTTGTGGACGCTCTAGAGGCTAAAGTTTATATCCGATTGACTTTAAATTTATACACAGTGTTTAAGGTCATGAGACGAAGAAGCCTATTGATTTTCAGCGATTTCCAATAATTACTGCCAGAGTTATGGCCCTTGATCACTTTGAAAAATCTTGTGGACGCTCTAGAGGCTAAATCCATGATGTTAAAAGATTCGTTTACTAAACATTAGCATGGGGCCGAACTTATAAAAACCAAACAAATTCTAATGGTTTTCTGATAATAAATTAATGAGTTGTTACTCTTAATCAGATTTTAATGTATTATAAATGTTTCATTACTAAATCCATGATGTTAAAAGTTTTGTATACTAAACGTTAGCATGGGGCCGAACTTTATAAAAACCAAACAAATTATAATGGTTTTCTGATAATTAATTACGATTTAGCTGATGAGTGACGTAATTAGCTTCCATTTTTTATTTCTCGATGTCAAATACAAGTGTTTAATTCCTTGATGATTGTTCAAAAATAAACAACACAACTGATTATTGATGTATAATGATTAATTCCTGAACAGTGGTCTGGAAATTATTAATTAAATGCTTGTAAATTGGACACTCATGAAAATTGAATGATTTACAGCTTTAAACTGGACATAAGTGCAGATTAGATGATCTTTGGTGATTTTAAATGATTTTTATCGATTTTTAAACAAAGTATTGATGTTGAATGAATGAATGAAAGTACTTTATATTTAAAATGATACCCGGGTTACAGTGTAACCAAGTCATTTTGTCAAAATCAGCAGTAGCTTGCACTGTTATAGTGTTACAAAATATTCAGTTGATAAAGTACTGAGTCGCAAGATAGAAAACCTGAGGGTGGCATGTGATAGTCAGGACACAAATACATGTAGGCATATGTACATAAGGTTACCACTCTTCTTGTTCATTTTGTCATTTCAGTTGAGATTGAATAGCATTAAAAAACTATCTACAATTGCTTTGGCATTGGGAGTTGACAGGACCAGAAGTGAACTCATACCCTTTCTTACAGGTAAGTTTTCTTGGAGTATCAAACAGTTTTTATACGCCCACATTTTATACGTCCATCCGTCCACAATTTGATTGTGGATACTCTACAGATCACAATTTCTATTTGATTTTGATGAAACTGAAAATATAGTTCTATCTTCTAAAGATCTTGGTTCCTTTCAATATTGACATAAATCGGACCATAACTTCTTGGATTATGGCACCAGATTGTACGAAAAATCACGTTTTTAGCTTGTGGACACTCTAGAGGTCACAATTTTCATCTGATTTTGATGAAAGTTGAAATGCATGTTTATAACCAAAAGATCTTGGTTCCTTTCGATATTTGCGCATATCAGATCGTAACTTCCCTGAATTATGGCCCGTGATTGTACGAAAAATCACGTTTTTAGCTTGTGGTCTCTCTAGAGGTCACAATTATTATCCGATTTAAAAAAACTTTTGAATATATCACCGCTACACCCTAAAAACGGCTGAGTTCGAATTTCGTGAAAATCTGATCAAAACTGCAAGACAAAATAGCAGACCCTCGTACGCAAATTGTGTAAATATATGGTACATGTAAATCAAGGTTGTGGACCCTCTAGATGTCACATGTTTATAACCCAAAGATCTTCGTTCCTTTCAATATTCATGCATATCAGATCATAACTTTCTGAATTATGGCCCTTGATTGTACAAAAAATCACTTCTTTTTTTAAGCTTCTTCTCTGTCCATCTCTTGCAAAATGTGGGCGTATCTTGCATAGCAACCGCTTGTTGATATTCGCGCAGATCGATCCAAACTTCTTGAATTATGGCCCTCGATTTTACGAAAAATCAGGTTTGAATACATCACCGTTACACCCTAATGACGGCTGAGTTTGAATTTCGTGAAAATCACATCAAAACTGCCAGACAAAATAGCCGACCCTTGTATGCAAATTGTGTAAATATATGGTACATGTATATCAAGGCTGTGGACCCTCTAGAGGCCACAATTTTGATCTGATTTTGATGAAATTTGAAATACATGTTTATAACCCAAAGATCTTTGTTCTTTTTGATAGTCATACATATTGGATCATAACTTCCAGAATTATGGCCATTGATTGTACGGAAAATCGCCTTTTTAGCTTGTGGTTCATCTGGAGGTCACAATTATTATTCGATTTAAAAAAACATTTGAATAATATATCACCGTTACACCCTAATAATGAATGAGTTCGAATTGTCGTGAAAATGGGACCAAAACCGCGGGTCAAATGGCCGCCTTTCGTACGCAAATAGTGTAAATATTTGGTATATAAATGGTATATCAAGGTTGTGGACCCTCTAGAGAAGTCACAATTTTGATCCGATTTTCATTAAACTTGAAGTCTATCATCATTTGATCTGTTTCGCCTGTCCAACCTCGTGGGTTTTCTCCGGGTCCTCCGGTTTCCTCCCACTGCTAAATAAAATTAAACCATTCTCTCTCATTTGATCTGTATGAAATTTATATGCATCATTTAAATTAGTGAAATTTGAATTTCCGTTAATTAGTTCTAGAGTTATGGCCCTTGTTTTACTTTGTTGAACCTTATAAATGGTCTTAACAACAAAAGTTATCATCCAATATGTATGAAGTTTATATGCATTATTCAAATTAGTAAAACGAAAAAGCCTGTCAAATTTCAACAATTTCTGTAAACTACTTCCAAAGTTGAGACCCTTGATTCAGTTTGTAGAACTTTGTGAACCCTCAATCGACAAAATTATAATCTCATCTGTATGGAACTGTCTTGTAAAGGCCCCCAATTACCTACACTGTACAAAGGAATAAATATGCAACAACCCTTGTCTACTGCTCGGACGATTAAGCTGCCGTGGCGTATGTTTCGTTGCCTGGCAACCTATCTTCCAATTTCAGGAGAGTTTTTTTTGGACTCTCCAGGAATTTATTCACGTGAAGACCTGCTGCGTGTCTAGTACATTTTGAAGGACACATACCATATGCATAAGACTGCATTGTATACTGAGCGCCATGGAAAACGCATCACTTTTTTTCCCAAATATTTTATTACTAGGTGGTTTTGTATGTATAATATTATGCAATACTATGAACTATTGTTTCACACAATGCTCCCAAACGCAAAAAATATCGGCCCGTGTGTGTGAGCCCTTTAAAAGCATGTTTTCAACTTAATGTGCAGTACATGGACTGTGAAACGTCAATTTGTCGTAATTTGTTGTTGGACGTGTGAAGGAATCGAGCTAGAAATGCCGAGACTTACTGAAAATCAACGGAATGAAGCCATGGGAATGTCCAGGGCTGGTATGTCTACACGTTCTATTGCCAGACACTTTAATTGTCATCAGTCCACTATTGTAAGGTTGGTGGAACGTGTTCGAGTTACTGGATCAACACATGACCGTCAACGTCCTGGTCCACAACGCGTTACAACCCAGGCTCAAGACCGCTACATCCGGGTCACTCATCACCGTCAGCGGTGTTTGATATGGGGTCAAGGACACCAGACATGGAGAAGAGTAGACTGGCAAAGTGTGCTCTTCAGTGATGATAGTCGCTTTCATCTTTAACACGCTGATGGCCGTCAACGTGTTTGGAGACGTCTTGGGGAACGTCTTGCAGACTGGTGCGTCTTCGAAACGAATCGATGGGGTGGGGGAAGTGTAATGGTGTGGGGAGGCTTCACATTTCATCACCGGACCGCCCTACACATTTGCAGGGGTCGCGTTAATGCTGTAGCCTACCGTGATGATGTCTTGCAACCAATTGTTGTTCCGATGTTTCGAGCGCACCCACAACTTCAGCACTTCCAACAGGATAATGCACGTCCGCATACCGCCCGTTTTAGTGTGGACTACCTGGCTGCTAACAACATCAATGTCTCCGGACATGGCACCGATAGAACATGTCTGGGATGAGATTGGATGCCGTCTGTATCGCAGACCACAGATGCACACCATTGCTGCTTTAGAAGCTGCTCTTGTCCAAGAATGGAACAATTTGCCCCAGGCCTTCTTTCAAACATTGGTAAATTCCATGCGACGTTGCTGCACAGTGTGTGTAAGAGCCTGTGGAGGACACACGCGCTACTGACATCTGTGTCGTACTTTTGGTTTTGACCCCTCTGACTTTGTACCGTTGATTACAGATTAAACATCCATAAGTGTACAAATGTGTTGTTATTGATGTGTTCCCATTTGAATATTGTTCACAATAAGAAGCAAAATAAATAAGACATGTTTACAGGATCATTTTGTTATACGAAAAACTAAGTGATGCGTTTTCCATGGCGCTCAGTATACATTGTATATTACACAGTTTAAATATGTATGCTGCGTTCAAAATGTTTGTATTTTATTTGCTGTACATGTATTAAGAGTGTATGGTTAAGATTCAGGAATATACTTTCAAATTGCAAACTATAAAGCTATTTTGGTTATTGGTCTTACAAATAGAAATAGGATATAAATAAAACTTGCTGCAGGATTTGAAAGTTCTTTCAAGTCAGACATAAGCTTGTACTTACCGTAAAAATGAAATGAGCGCAACAAAAGTCGCTGATGTAAGAAAATGTTAATGAATTGTAACCGCTATCAAATCTGCACAAAAATCCAAAACTGGAAAACACTAATTTTATTTTGGAAAAAAAAAATTGTATTTCGGTCGAAGAGCTTATTCTTCTAGAGAGCAGGGGCGTAAAAAAAATTTTGAATCCACTAGCCCAGGTCTAGTAGTCTACTGTCAGGCACTTGCCCGGCATTAATATCCACTAGTCCATAGTTTGACAAGGTACAAGATTTAATCTTCAATATTTGGGCATATGTTTTGTTGAATGCCAACCTATCATTTTTAATAAAGATTGTAGACTTGATTGCCAAATAATTAAGGATGTATACGGCTACTCGGTTAACCGGTCACTCTTCGGTTGCACTGGTGAAACGGTTAAAACAAACTACAAACCGATATTCGTTTTCATATCATATCTGACCTTCAAAACCAGGAATGGTAGCCACAACAATGTTTTCTTTCACTAAACACCATATGTAAATACTTCATATAGCACATGTCATTTATAATATATCACAGTAAATTAACGTCCTTTAATTCCAGCTCGAAGATTTGTATACATTACGTATTTTGACAAATTAATTGTTTTAATGTATTTATATACCTGGTCACTCTATAATAAACAGTCTCAAATTGAAACAAATCAGTTTAATGTGCTGATATAATATTAAAATAGACAGGATAGTAAAATTGTTTATATTATCACTCGAGTGCCATGCTGTGTGCAGATAGGGTCAAAGTTGATGACACACGGGTCACTGGAACCATTCATCATGGCGTGTGTGTAATGAACACGTGTAGTAAATTCTTTTGAAATGCCTGACATGTTAAATAATCAAAATTATCTTGTATTTAAAAATACAAAGGTAAGCTTTCAAATATTTATGTCAGAACTAATCTCTATATTTATTTGTGACTGTCGTTTGTCTGTCTGTCTGTCTGTTCGGGGTTGGCGGCTACACTAGGTCTGCCCCGAGTCTGAAATTTGAGGTATAGGGTTAGCTCGGACCGGGGAGTAACATAGGCCAGGTGGCATTAGTCTACCACTTCCGGTTTCGGAGTTATGACTCCCGAGTGAAGCCGGTCTGTTCGGGGTTGGTGGCTACACTAGGTCTGCCCCGAGTCTGAAATTTGGGGTATAGGGGTAGCTCGGACAGGAAAGTAGCATAGGCCAGGTGGCGTTAGTCTACCACTTCCGGTTTCGGAGTTATGACCCCCGAGCGAAGTCTGTCTGTTCGGGGTTGGCGGCTACATCTGCCCCGAGTCTGAAATTTGGGGTATAGGGGTAGCTCGGACCGGGGAGTAACATACATGTAGGTCAGGTGGCGTTAGTCTACCACTTCCGGTTTCGGAGTTATGACCCCTGAGCAAAGCCGGTCTGTTTCGGGGTTGGCGGCTACACTAGGTCTGACCCGAGTCTGAAATTTGGGGTATAGGGGTAG